CAGGATGGAATGAGCGCACGACAATACAACTATATCATTTCAAAACAAATCACCTTATTGCGTATGGAGTTACTACAATTCAGTGACCACGGGCAGGGCGAAGAAGAGAACAGAAGCCTCGAAACAAACAAACTGAAGAACGAGTCTTGAGTGTCACCTGGCTTAGGTTTCTGTCATTATGATGAAAAAACATTTATCATCTACTGTTATATACCGAAAACTTTTCGCTCGTGCAACAACGATATGGGCAGCCATCCTCATATTGGCCGTTAGTGAACAACGAACGTTGTTACAAGAACAGTGCTGTTTTTCATTTAACAGAAAAAAACAGTTTGGTTTTGATTGACTTGTGGCAGTCACCGTAAAAAAACTCTTTAAATCATTATTCACACTACATACGATGTATCTCAGTCAATGTGATTACTGACATATTCAATCACTGATAGTGTGACAATGCTTCCTGATGTCAGCATGCATGCACTGGCAGCTCTCTGAATTACCATGTTAAGTATCAAATCTGCAATAACGTATGAGAAGTAAAAAAGACCGTCAGCCATTGGCATACCTTTTTCGATTTCTTTGACATGTCAACTTGTGCATAAGTGGCCTCTGGTTCTTCCTTTTTCTTCTTCTTCTTCTTAGATTTATCCACGGCTGCATGCTGAGGTGGTTCAGTTTGTGGCTTTTGCTCTTTAACTTTCTTATCTTTCTCGCTTCCTTTCTTCGCAGACTTGTCGACAACAGCATAGGTAGGTACAGCTGCAAGAAAGCACACTAAGAATTCCTTCCGTTTGTCCTACTGTAGGACAAATGTACGGAAATTCTTACTCCGTTTACAAGGTCCCAAATTATTTAATCCTCTCAGCATTGACATTCAAAATGCCTCTAGTATAACCGTGTTCAGCCTCTAAACATAAGTCATCTTTCTTGGCATAAGTATAATTTATTTCTCTTCGTGTGCTTGAGTGTGCTTTTTTCCCCGCTTTTTTTCCTTGCTTTGCTTTTGCGCATTTGCGCGTTTAGCTTTGTTTAACTACTTTTTATCCTAAATTATGATCTTTTTGTGTGCCGATGACAGCTTTTTTATTCCCCTGCTAAGGCAGTATTAACATAAGCCCTATTGGCTTCCCTGGGTTTTCTTGCCTTACACGTTAACATTTTGTAAATATATTTATAAATGGCGAAAACATTAAACAATCAAACAAAAGCTGCAGGACCTGAAGCTCCCTGGTGTTGGCTCATGTCGACCATTGCTGTGGGTCGAGGTCCTGCGTCTGCATAGCCCTTGTTGACTTGCCCAGAGCCATTGTCTTCTCCTGGAGCACTATCAGATTAGACCATAATGATAAAATTGTTTTTCTTTCCTTATTGCATACAGTGAGTAGCATTAATCTCCCAGGAGAAATGGGCAAAAAAAAAGTGCATTTGGCACAACGTTCTTATGTTACTTTTTTTTAAAAAAAAGTTGTCAGTTTGACTACAATTAAAATCAATAGAATTAATACAATTACAATCAATAATCTACAGCATTTGAACTTTAATTAATTTTTCCTTTCACATGTTGTTTTGCGTTATAAATTTGAATATATTCCAGATATTTCGGCGTATAGAAAAACGTTTGTTTACAATAATTGCCTCACTAGCATAAGCTTCTTAGTCTGATCAAGCTACAAACAATATCAGCTCTGAATATTGAAATGCCATGGCACGATGAACTGTTTTAAGACTTTCGAGCCAGATTTACCAAATACATTGTGTCGCAGGTTTAAAAACTAAAATTTGTGCACAGAAGGTATGGCCTCACTGGTGTTTTTGCCACCCGGAAATTGTGCAGTTTTTGAAAGTAAATATCTCCTTCAATACAACAAAAACCAATGTGAAGCTTCTTTTGATCTGCCTTGATGTCATGGCTGTACCCATGGTATCTACACAGCTAAAAGCACTTTAAAAGCCACTAAGAAAAAGAAAACAATTCCATTGCCGTTAATTTTTGTTTGTGAATGTAAAAATTTACAGGATTTTTGACCTTCTTCGTGAATTTTTTTTTTCATCATTATTTCGCAGAATTCGAGGGATATCAAAACTAAGTCTTCACCAGATTATAAAAAATTCCGCTGGATAGTTTTATTCTATAAATGTCTCAAATTATAGGAAATGCTGAATGTTGCCTGTACGAAAAATATCAGGATAGGTCAGCTAACAACATTTTGAGATAAATTACCAATTAACTTTCCTGTTTTTTTTTCCCGTTTGCGTGATTTTATTCGCCGTTCGCGGGATTTTACGGATAATTTTGTGATCGACTTTATGAAATATGGTTCCACTTTGTTCACGCGAGACATCACGTGCCTTATGTAGGTTAGTAGCGTGCACATGGCAAAGTCTTTTGAGCCTCCTCAAATGTTTGGAGTCAATTTCGATGTAGCACGATGCCTTCTCTACGCAAAGTCCTATGCTAATGAGGCACAATTTACACAATATCGTCAGGAAACAACAAACAATTACACCAATCTAAACTCTTTTCCACTCAGAAGTGACTAAATACAGCTGAGAGACTCTTGGGATAATGTAGAATGCAGTCTATCACGTGCCTTGAGGTTTGTGCTTCATGGTTAATGCTAAGTTTATATGTAACAGAAAAAAGAAATACCCTGAAACGTGATTTGCACGCTTTCCTTTACAACAACATTATGTATTTCTTATTGACTTTTCTTCCGAGTACACTCGGTAAATACGCGACAAAGGAATAGCAGCCGTAAGGGTAACCGTTACACGACAGTTCCTTATAAACGCAGGTAAAAACAATAGTATAAAGGAGAGACATTTAACTGTTTGAGAACACCAACATGACTGCCGTGACGTAATATCAAAACGAGCTACACATTAGTTTTTCGTGAGAACGTTTCTAAAATGATGCTTTTATTTCATTTTGCATACGCTGTAAAATGATCTGTTTGCTGTCTTACAAACACGGCCGTTTCATGTCACTTGTAGGGTGCGGGCTGCAACCCATACACATACCGATTAATTACATAAAACGTTTGTCAGTTTATGAGGGATGTTCAACTACTTTTTCAAATAAAACCTCTCAATTGCCTTTTCCACATGTCAAACATGTGCCCTGATTGGTTTCCCCAGTCAACCACCAATTAATCATGTTTAGTTTTAAAATTTAAATTTAGAAAAGTAGAAAATCATTGACGAAAAAATAAGAGACTGAAGGGGCTAAAGTGGTTTCATTGTTAGACCTTACCTAATGTGCAACAACAGCCTGCGTGGCTAGCGGTTTAGTTGGGGTAGAGCGCACGAGCAAGCGGCGAGAGCAGCGATGCCGCGAGGGGCCTGGATACGGTCCTATACCCCAACCCAACTAAACCGCCAGTTACGCAGGCTAGTGTAACAATTACAATGTTACCGGGTAAAGGATCATTATAACAGAACGCTATACTAAGTAGCATTCCAATTTATAGAAAAAGATAAAAATACTTACAACGCTTGCTCTTCCGACTCCGAACAGCGAACTTGTTATTATTGCAATACACATGTCGATAAGGAAAGACAAGAAAGAAGCAGATTAGCAGCAAACAAGAATAGCCAAATCTTTGTAGACTAAGAAATAATCGCTGTCAATGGTCTGGACACTATTACTTACTGTAATGAACTAATGAGGGAAGCTCTGTCTATAGTTCGGCCACCCTACAATATGAAGTCACTGATCTCATATCCTTCGATATCATAGACAATTTGTGAAGAGAGACAAACTCTGCACATTCTTGGCAGATTTCTCCAAATTTTTTCCAAAGTTATGTTTAAGTTTTGCCACACTGATTTGTCGTACGTGAAAAATGACGAAAAAGTTCATTTTCAAACCATTACAGTCAAAACACGAAGTAGAAAATGACATCATTACTGACTGGCACATTCGAGACACCAGGAAAATCCTAGTTTTAGGATAAGGTAAAAAACCTAAAAGTGCAATGTTGTGGGTACGCTTTGGAGAAAATTCACTGGAAAAGTTGCAACAAGATCTCACAACGGGAAACGTTGTGCAACTGCAACATATTCTATTTAGCGCTTACCCACTTACGTCAACACAACAAGGGCTTTGTAGTTTATTGTGAAGTTACAAGTAATTATGAATACAACGACCGAATAATTATATCACGTATGACT